ATTTTTTCCTATAGTTTATTTAAAATTTTGCCACAATTGCAATTTTGTGTTGCAAGTTTCCCGGATGTTTTTCCAGCTTTTACCGAATTTTATTCAAGGGAGCTTCTTTCGTCTTTCTCTGGATGTTTTTTTCAGCTCCATTCAGAAGCTAATTCAAACATTCCCCGGAGTTTCTTCCGGAATTTTCCGATCATAGTTCAAAAATTTTGCTTTGATTAACGGCTTTCTCAATCTTAAAACACTGCAACGACTACGATGTAATATGCCAGACATTTCGGCCATGGGTTGTGGCTTTTTTCAAGGGAAAATATTGTTTGTCGTTGTTGTGGCTGATTTTCCATATTTTGGTTTCATTAAATGATATTTAATTAAAAAAAAAAACACTGCTTGGTCACAATTTTGATCACCACTTCAGGACAACGAAAGTTTTAAAAATAAAAAATTAAAAAAAAAATATAGTGCAAAACAAAGAAATTCCCCTCAAATTCCAGTCGTCACCATCGTTTAAATTTTCGCTTTCAAAAACGGCAAAATATAAAATTAAATAAATAGAAAATACCGATAAATACCGATTTTTTAATACCTTTGATACCGATAAGCTTTAAAACAATCTGGCAACGCTGGTTCAGTGTGCAGTGAGAAAATGTACTTTTCTCTTTTGTATTTCAAGACCAACAATTGAAATGGCCTTAACTCCATTTTGTAAACGAACCTTGTAAGGCCATTTTCTCGCGAAACGAAGTCCGCAACGGTAAACCAACATAATGAACAGGTAGGGGAAGTTCTCCTCTACCCGATTGTGGTTTAGGTTTGCGAATGAAGGTTTCGGTTCACGAGAAAATGGCCTTACAAGAGAAAATGGAGTTAAGGCCATTTCAATTGCTGGTCTTGATTTTATCCTGCCACCAAAGATTTTGTCAAAAACCTTGGTCATAGGTATCTTCCAATATGGATATAAGTTTACACATGGTATATTCAATGAATGAATCTAAAAAACGGTGTCTCATTGAATAAGATAGCTAGAAACGACAGTTTGTCAGAAATTAGTTTACGCAAGATTTCAACACCGCACCACCTTCTACATTCTTGTTCAATTGTAAGAAAAGCATTGTCAAACTGCTTGGCTCCCAATGACAGTTCTTGACAGCTTGTGCCTGGCTCCTTTTGACATTTATATGTTTCGATTCTGGGTCTCCCTCCCAGGTTAAGGCAATTCAAATACATGAGTTCAAGAGTGCTTAGAAGACATAGAATTATAAACCACGTTAGAATTATTTTAAATTAATTGACTACCCCCTTGATTTCTTTTCTCATTTTACAGCTGGTATAATCAATTTGACAAACCGATGTCCTACTATACCACTTGAAATCACTTAATGGGGTCGATTTTGATGGTCGAGTTCTACATATGTTTTATACACCGACTCTGCATTCATCAAGGTCGAAGGTTGCGTGCGGAAAGTTAATTTTGGTTTTAAAGGCTTGAAGCTGCAAACTTTGAAATAAATAATTTCACACGTGACGGAATCCATCTTTGAAATAGAGGATCAGACGTAATCAAATATTTCGTGTAAAATTAAGTGCTCCAAGACTGAAAAGTTCGTTAGTCGACGAAAAGTACGTTTGATTGAGTTGAATTTCGCGTGTGTTATGACTCAATTTTATGTCAACATTGACGCTCCTATATGTCAGTCTCAGAGCATCTAAATTAACATGATTTTTTTTTCGAAGTGTGTGGGAGGGAGACCCAGACTTGAATCATATAAACGTCAAAAAGAGCCAGACACAAGCTTTGAGGAATTTTCATTGGGAAACACGCAGTTTGACGATGCTTTTTAGAACAAGAATACAGAAGGCAGTATTGAAATCTTGCATTAAGTAATTTTTGACAAACTTTCGTTTCTAGCTTTCTTATTCAATGGGACACCATTTTTTAGATTCATTCATTGCTATATGTACACTTAAATCCATATTGGAAGATACCATTAACCAAGGTTTTTGTCAAAATCTTTGGTGGCATGGTAAAATACAAAACAGAAAAGTACATTTACTCACTACACACTGAACAACGTCAAACATGCACTACACGCTCAAAGTAAAACAGGCAATATTGCTACGCCTATTTTGATTTGATTTCACCCTCCCAAGCTTGAAGTAGTTGTCTTTCGCGCAAACAAAACTACATACTTATGGCGGTAAGCTCCAGCTCGGATTAACTTTTAATACCGTTCCTGTTTGGATCTGCAAAGTGTTTGCTTAGAGTGGTGTTAATTAACTCTAAAGCTGGGTTTAGACTAGGCAAGTCAAATGATCAACTCAGTTGAATTCCATTGTCTTGAAAAGTTGAGCCTGGTACAAACGCCAAAATATAGACCACATCTCCACCCTCTATCGGTCAAACGTTGTAGCTCCGAACGAATTTAATAGTCAATATATGCGTTTTTCAGGGTGGCCAGGAAGATGAAAATTAGCCGGGAAAACCGGGAAATATCTGGGAATTGGACGGGAGAACCGGGAAAAATTAAGTAACTTGAAACATTAATACACGGTCACATCAATTATAATTATAATTCTAATAATAATTATAATTCTGATCGAAATGACGTCTGAGACGAAGTGGTTTAGAAAAGTAAAGTAATTCTGGGAGAAATATACACGATATTTTTTTAGTACTTTTGAGCAATGTCTTAAAAAGTATATCGCCAATATTTATAATTATTTTATAATAAAGCTCATGAAAAACTTCAACTTTAGAATTAAATACTTGGACACTTGTCCATGAAATTCAAATAAAGTTCCGGCAGAACTTTCAAGCCACATGAAGCAATCCACACGAGTCTTTATTAGTAACAAAATTTAATGTACGTAAATATGAAATGGTCAATGGCTCGAATAAATCATAATTTTTATATTTATGCAGTGCATCAACATTCTATCCTAACATAAAAACAAATTGAAGAGTAATTTCCTGGATTCAAACCCGTGTATTCGGCATGCTATCTACGAACGCTAACCACTGCACCACGAATGCGTTGGAATACCATGCGGACAAACACCAACTTAAAATTCATCAAGGTGTTGTGTTTCGTATTCAAGTCAGTCAGCTGGCACTGAAAACTCCAACAGTAGGCGGGACAACAGCTCACTTTATTATATCTCAGATGACGCAGCGGCTCGTGCGCTCTCACGCAGAAGAACTGGATTTAATTCATCAAACAGCTCTAATTCTACTACTAATGCTGATAAATCAATACACATTAATATCTGCCTTTAGAAATAACTTTCATAAAAGTGCGAACTAAACATAGAATTGATGTAGAGAACAAACACCTTTTTGATATATTTTCAAATTCCGCCAGAAGCTGCTTAGAATGATCTTCAATTATGATATCGGAACTTTCAAGTTGTTATAACGACTTAAAAATGAGGCTGCTTAGAATTCTATAGACCACCACCAACCAAGCTGCTTAATCCACAAATAGCCTTTTATCAGAACTTTTGGTTACTTGGGCTGAACCTTATTTGTACGATGGTGCAAACATTATCACGCATACGGTACTTCAAATTTCCGCGTACATCGTACGGGTTAAGCAAAGAAGCGTGCGTTTGACTTTGTACTGTCGCATTAATGGCCCTTCGCCCATTTTCAACTACTATTCAATTTTCATACTGCCGTACTCTCACGGAACCTACTTCTTCTCACCTACCCTCTTCTAAGACCATTGTCTAGCTAATAAAAAAATATAACACCAAAGCTTCAACCAACTCTTAACAAAACTGCTCTAATCTTATACATTTATGCGAAATCTTCGTTACTTGTTGTTGATTAGTTGAATGACATGGTTTACACGTTCAATTCACGTTCAAATCAGTTGAATTCAACTGACTTGATAAATTTACTTGTCCTGTCTAAACCCAGCTTAATGTCGACTTCAAAGCAGCCTGACATTCTTGATCGGAATTTAATCCTAGGAAAATACCGGTTGGAGCTAACCACCATTAGAAAATGATGTAAATTTAGGTGCTCTGAGACTGACACATACGAGCATCAATTTTGATATAAAATTGAGTCATGATAAACGCAAAATTCAGCTCAATCAAATGTACTTTTGATCTTTTCAGTCACGGAGCACTTAATTTTACATGACATGTTTGTTTACGTCTTATCCTTTATGTCAAAGATGGATTCCGTCACGTGTAAGATTAGGTATTTCTAGGTGTGTACGTACTATTAAGTTGTTTTCACCCACGGTCAACTTCAAAGTACGCAATATTAAGTTGTGCTTAGTCACTCAATTAACACATCGGATTGATTCGTTTTTCTTTTTTGACAACAAACGTGAGAGAAAATGAAAGGCACAACTCAATAGTAAGCTTAAGGAACTCAACTGTTGGGTAGTTTTGTTTTTCTTTTCGTGCAGACCTCTGGATCCCTACATTGAGTCTATTCTAGTCCAAATGTTTCTAGAAATTTAAATTTCAATCCAAAATGATTATAAAAATAAACAAATTCCATCTTGAAATATGTGCATCCATCATAGATACAGAATGCACCCATTGCATGCAACAAGGCTTAGAGAGTTTGATCATGGCTGACCCCTCTGACCTTTAGTCAATTTCAATCAATTGCAATCAGCGATTTGCATTCCCTCTAGAATTATAAAGATACAACTGTCACTTCGTTGACCGTAGCCTGCCCTGACCCGCAGAAGCTGTTGTTCAAGATCACGAAAGTGACCCACATCCGGTCGGCGTGGACGCGGTTAGCCCAGAAAGAGGCAAACACACAAATTGATTCCGATTAGCTGTTGTCTGATATCACGCCGGCCGGCTGGCTGGCTAGCGGCATATTCCATGAGCCGTCTGACTCCTTCCACGAGGCATCCCATTAACGAATCAAACCAGTCCGTGTAAAACAGCAAGCCGAGGCAAAATAGGGCGGTGTAGGTGTTGGTAGGACGTATAGCGACGGTCATAATAAAAATATTTCCACTAAATAGGCTGTTGCGCGGTGTTGTAGTGTTTTGATTATTGCGTACTCGTGAAAAACGGAAGCTTGTGGCCAAAAACAGAACTGTGAAGTCCGAATTGATAGTGAGTGTGAAGCGAACCGACGAAGCATATCATATCAACCCACCAGAGTCTGATTTGGAAAGTGTTGGAGCAGAGCAGAGTGACAACAAAAACAATAACAACATCAATAGCAACAATAGCAGCAGAGATGGGCAAACCGACAACGAAGAGTGGCAATTTTATGCTAATAGCATCAATTGTGATATTATCAGGTAATTTTTCAATTTAACACTTTGTTAGACGGTGCGAGATAAGGCGTGGAGATGAATGGAAAAATCCAATCGCTCTGCTGTATGTCTCGGATGGTTTTGGTTTTCGAATTAAATTAGGCGACGGTAATTCCTAGCTAATTGATGTAAAACATTTAACCGGATCTGCAAAAAGTCACAGGCACTGTACAATGTTTAAAGCAGAGGCTTAAATTTCACCAAATCGGTTCCGAAGCCGGGCGGTTGAGTAAGTAATAAAAATCGCACTCGGTCGACCTTGGGTGGGTGCTCGTCGTTTTAAGTTCATCGTTTAGTTGCGCCAAATAGATTTGGCCCTGGTCCAAGCCAAATTAACAGTGCCGTGAGAGAAGTGAAAACCTAGGTGCAACATCTGTTGTTCCATTCCTGGCGTCGGCGTCGTTCTGCTATCCGATTTCAAGCAGCTTCAAATGCCGACTTGATAAATTCATCATATCGTATTATGGGATCATAAATTTCATTCACTTCTCACTTTGATCTACGATGGTCACAGGAGGTTGAACTCCGCGTCGTCAAGTGCTCCGAATAATTGATTGGATTAATCAACATTGTACGAACGAGCGGTAATGGTGGAACGTAACATGCTGGTTGATCGTGTGTACTGTCTACTGTCACAAGCTAGTCATATGTAGATATCTACAAATCTACATGCCACGCTAGACTCTCTATAGTCGCTCTGACCGGTAGCTAAGCGTAATGGTCACAAATTGAGTGTGCAGATTCGCGCAACTTTGCTTTTTTGGCACTCGTTTTAGTTGGTAGGTTGCATGCGGTTACGTACAGTAGAATCACGATGAGGCTGGGGGATTTGGTAAACTACCGTATGATAATGCAATTTCCGACGAGAAGTGATGCTGGGTTCGGGAGGTATAGAGCTGAATTGGAATCTCTATACAATGCAACAATCAGCATGATGATCAAGTTCAAGCCTAAATGAATCGGCAGTCAATTATTGATTGACTTTCTCGAATCTCGATTAATGACAATCCCAGGTTATGCTATGAAACTATGAGCGTATGGGAAGATCCTTTCTTTGAAGATACATTTACCATGCATCCTGGAGCCAGTCTTGATTGGGTGCTGACTAACGAATGTATTATGATGGGTGATTCTGAAGGTGATTTCAAAACGGCCATGACGGACGATGACTATGACAGGAAAATACAGAAAAACGGTTGCTGTTGGTATCGGAGGGTTACTAATAGGGAATCCAGCACAAACCATTTTTTCAGGATTATTCAGATGGAAATTTTTAAACGAATTGGACCGTTTCTGATTCTTATGGGTATGACTGTAGGGAAAATCATAAAATGACTACCGATGAAATTGGACGGTAACTGAACTACACATGCATTCCCCTCAGTCCAATTTCAGTTTTAACTGCATTTCACTTGTCACAAATCACACAGAAAGAGAAAAATATCGTTAAACATTTTATTTTTGGATGTCTTACTTAGGCAGTGCTCAGTGGTGCCAAAGATATCAAAACATGCGTTTTCTTTTAAATAATTCTGAAATGATTAATTATAACATTCAACTTTTTGTTTATCAACTGGGAGCGATCATTCGTTTTCATAAAAAAAAAACACGCCTATGGACGATCATGGTGTTGGTGTCATCCCGAACTGCCATCGATGGTCCTCCGGTGCAATGATCTCCCCAGAAGGATTCAATTGTAATTTTCGTCCCGGAGCGGGCACTTTCCCGGCGAATTTCAACACTTTTCTCTGCAACGTTTATTATTCCTCTATCTGACAGCACTACGACCAGTAATTTGATCTATTTAGTATATCCCGTGTTCTTAGTTTAGTGCATGTCGTATTACTCCATCACTATTGAGAAATGATGAAGTATTCGATTTTGACGTAGGACGTGAGGACGTTTACTGTACTATAGATCACATTAAGAAATCGAAAATGATGTATGTAACGAAAAAGGGAATTTTTCAAACACATATTTCTCCAAAGCATTAAAGTGAAATATGTCATGCAATATGCAATTCGATGAAGAGTCCACCCAGCAATTTTTTGGCATATAGTACAAATAGTGAAAATAGTTATGCAACTAATAAACATAATAGAAATGGGAAGCATCCAAATTTCCCGTACATTTGCTTAGACCACTAGGTGTCTTTCCTAATAGAGCCATCACATAGTTGGTACCAAACGAAACAAACCGAAGCCGCATTTCCATTCGTTTCGTTCAATACACGGCGAATGAGAACGACCCAAATTTGAGTTTAGTTCACTCATCATCGCCAAAAGTGCAGGAACTCAGCGATGAGTAAATTTGCCTCATGTTTTCCCAGGTGTTTCCAGGGTTTTCCAGGAAAAAAATCCCGAATTTGAGAAAAGTAAAGATTGGACTCACTCAGTCTATTGGTACTACTCCGAGACTGAATAAAATTTCCGTCCATTTCCTCATTTTCCGGCAGATGTTTTAGGTTTTCCACAGGAAACCATGAGACAAATTTTACTCATCGCTGAGTTCCTGCACTTTTGGCGATTATGAGTGAACTAAACGCAGCAGCAAGCAGACGGAGGAAAAGTTTCAGGCACAAGCAGCTTGCTATCAAAGCCTGGAGGGGGGAGGTGACTGTCAAATACGAATAATCGTTGCCTACCTCGCATAACTGGTTCCAAACGACAACAAAGCCATAAGCAACGATGGTTTGTTTATGTTTGGAACCAAATTCAAATAGGGAAAATCAATTAGCGTAAACAGGTAAGGCCCAGTAAATTTGTCGTCTCTTTCGATCTCCGGCTGATAAAATGGATGACGAAGTTTGACGTCACACTCTTCAACCGTTTGAACAGCGAGAGAACGAAAGAGCTTGAGCTTGATTGACCGCCCACGGTTGCTACTCTGTTATTGCCAGATCAGCTGTAATTACACAGAGAAACAATAGACGATCCTTGGGACTGGCAATCATCCTCAATGTGTAATGTTGATGGTAGCCATTGTAATGGACGGTTTACTCAGTTTACCGCATTGGCATATGGCCTGCTAGAGCTAGTATTTTTTGGCGAATTTGTCCACTTTCTTATTCCTTATGTCTTCCGGAACATCAAACCGTGATTTGGCAACGTAGAACTCCAGCCCCGGTATCTGCTTTGTATCTGCCTTGATGTAGGTTTCGTCATCCATAACCACACACATCGGTTTCGTTAACCACTCTCGATACAGCTTCCTTGCGCGGGATTTGGCCGCCGTGTTGTGTTGATCACGCCAGTTCGGTGTCTTCCGGACCTTGAATACACGAAGCCCAGCTCGTTTCATAGTTTGCTGAACGAACCAGGCGGAACACTTTGCCTTCAGAGCCGTGTCGTGAATCGAAAGGTTCGGATTACGCTTGAAATAATCCAACACCTTCCGGGCCTTCACAGGGTCAGCTGTCTTCGATTTTCTTCCACTTCCAGCCCGCCGCTTGGTCATCTGGGTCTTCTTAAACGATTTTACCACCCGAGACACAGTTGTATAGGTGATTCCCAGTTGTCTTCCGATCCATCTCATGGTTGCAGTCCGATTTTCCATGACGGCGCGCAAAATTCACCGGCGACTTTCTTCTAGTTTCGATAACATATCAATTACCACTGAACCGATTGTTATGAAATTTTGCACATGTAAACAATTCAGTTATACCCAGATTTTCATCAATTTTTACCCACGGATAAAAAAGTTACACACGGATAAAAATGGTGCATTTTTTTCGAGTACAAGCCTTATTATCTACACACTAAAAAAATCTGAATTTTACTGGTGATGTAAACATCCATGCATGCAAACATTCATGCATGTAAACTTCCTTTTCACGTAAACTAGCAGCTTGCAAGAAATGTTGCAAACAAAGGTGGAAAGTTGCATACAATATATGGAATATTGCATGACATGTCTCATAAATTTACACGATTTATAATGTAAATTTGTATGATTTATGACGCTCCATTTATGTGCATCATAGTAACGGAAATTTACACTACTTTTTTTAGCTGTGTAGCTTCTAATACGACAAACACAACAAGAAACGGTTCTGTAGTAGCAATGGGCGATCTTGGCTCGAAACACAAAAGATCGATTCTTTTGGTTCGATTAATCGATTTTTTGAATCGATCTCAAACACAACAAAAACCGAGTGGATCGATCCTTTCCATTCGATTTTTGTTTCGATCGAAAAAAAATCAGTGGATTTGCATCTGTAATTTAATGTTAATTTTTTTTTTGTCCTCACCTTTGCACAACACTTGCCTTGAACGTGGATTCTGCAAGCAACCAGTGTGACAGTTCAGTAGGCAAGAACGAGAAAGATAAAATTTGGGGCAAACTATTCTGGATTTATGGTCATTGAGTAAGGTTAAATCATGTCGTAAAAATATCCCGAAAATCTTTATGAGTTCAAAAAGTTCTGGTTATATGTAAATCACAGAATGGTATTCAAGGCCTTAAGCAATCACCCCTATTCTGTACATCGGGTTGACCTTCTGTCATTTGCGAGGCAATGAAAGTTACGCCTTGTGAAGACTCTACATTTGATTTGCATGGAGAGTCACCTCACAAAGTGACTTTTATTGTCTCGTAAGTGAAAGAGAGACGATGCGATACGTTGAATTGGGGTAAATATCTTGAATATCTTTGAAAAAGATCCCCAATATTTTTTAATTGATTAAAGTCATTGTTTTAATGTTAATGTTCTGAAATTTAAAGGAAGCATTCATCTCTTTGGCAACGCTTTTTATTTCTTAGTAAAGTGTTTGTAAAGTGTAGTTAGTGCGAAAAAATAAAGTTTTAATTTATTGTTAGCTGTTATATTTATTCACGTATTTTCTACATTTGCATTTTCAACAAAGTCATCGTCAATTTCATCAACGTCACTCAATAATTCTTCTAATGCTGTTCTCTCTGAAGTTGTTTCTGTTGAAATGTTATTATTCTTACATACAAGAAATGTCTGTACAACTGCGGGATAT